AGAATAGTCTTCAGAAACAATCAGAGGAATATCAATAATGAATCTGTGTAGGACATTAAAATTTATTGTTAAATGTTAGGTAAAAAAAAAAAACAACCAAAATAGTATGATCTGAACCTACTGGTGCAGAGAGGGATTGAGGAAGACGTACAGAAGTAATCCCTTTTGTCATTTTACCACCTGTATATTTTCTGTGCAAGCATTAGTTTCTCTGTACTGTGAGAACTCCATCACCATAGCCTGCACGTCGTTTCGTATGGCACCAGGTTTTTTTGCTATATTTTTCAACTTTATTTCAAAGTTGAAAAAGTTATAGTGTTCAGGAACCTCCTTATGGGTTGTGGAAACTTCAGTGGATCATATACAGAAGGTTTCAAATAGCAAAAGAGAGTGTAGAAACAGGGTTTGATGTTATAGTAAGAAGACACTATTAATATCTTCCTGTATTTATGGGCTGTGTATCTTACTAGCTTGTTCTGCTGCATAGTTGAGAAAGGAGATTTCTTTCTGCAAGAACTCATACTTCGTTACTTGTATGCTGAGGTCTTTTTTGTGGCACACTTATTCAGTGTCTCTCATATGACACACAGAAAGGAAGAATATCTGCATGTGATTCTGTTTGGTGAAATGCTAATGGAACAGGTTTTTTTTCTTTATTTAGTGTAGTTTGTATTTTAAATTTATGCGGGTGCATTTTTGTGTTTCTTGTTTTTTAGACAGAGAAAGTGAAATTTGTCTAAGAACAGAAATTAAGTTTTAAACGTTTAAACCTTGATACAATAACAATGAAGTGTAAGATGCCAATAAAGTATAATTTGTAGTCATGTTCTGTCATATCATGTCATGTCCTGTCATATCATATGATATCATATATCATATGTCATGTGCTTTATCATATCATTTTATATCATATGATATTTACTGAGGTTGTAGCATAGGAAAAAAAGTCCCATGTTTTAGATTTTATATGGAATGACAGTATAAATAAATATAGGTAGAGGTATTGCTGAGAGAAGAAATTGGAATGTAATGAAAATGTTATGGGAGAAAAAGCACTTCAGTGTAAAACTGTGGACTCATCACAACCATCTGTTCTCTAATCCGTAAATATTTAGTGCTATCCAGAAGATTGCTCTATAGTGTTACATCTCTGTTTCTACCCATGTGCAGTACTGTTTCCATTTAAGATCTACTTTAGCTCAAGTCAGAACAATCTATACATTCTGTATGATTCTAATTTGCAGGTATCTATGTCTTCTTCTGAAGCCTGTTTTAGATTTTAATATGCAGATTTCCATCCGATTCATTAAAACACTTTACATCTTATCCTTGATTTTTCAGGTAGTTACACGTAGGAATAAAGAAGATACTGTTCAAAGTTACTCAGATAAATAGTGGCAGACCATGATGTACAACACATCTGCATTATGACTTTACTGCTGTCAACTGTATCACTCTACTAATAAGATGTGTTTAGCACAAATCCAGGTATAATAATCTGTTTGTTTCCACTATGAATTGTCTGGCAGAATGTACTTCTGAGCTTAGATGTGATCATTGTAGTTCCGAAACTGTGAATTGTAGCTAATGAAAAGTATGTTTATCTCCTCGTGGAAATTGTTTGAAGTTAGAATTGCTAATAGTCTTATTAGCAAAAACAAACAAAAACAAAAACAAAACAAGAAATGCCAAGTGTTTAAATGATGTTTGTTTCAATAGTCTGTGTGAGTTTCTTTGAAAATCAAAGTGTAAATTTGAATGTACTTTCATAATGATCAGGTTGAAAATTAGTAAGCCATCACATGTGTGAATATGAAATTTATCTTCAGTATTCTGGCAAACTAAATGTGAAAGACACTGATAGATTGCTCTTGAAGTCTGAAAGCTATCACTGTTTTCTGTAATCCTCATTGGAACTATTATGAAACTTTTCAAAGAATTTTCATGGATTATCAGTAATACTGAGACTTCTAATCTGCTCATTTTCTGAGTTTGTCATTCTTTCATTCCCAGTCCAGAGAAGAGACTCTGTCATTCTGACTAAAGACCATATGCCTGTTTTGCATACATTAATTTCATTCAGTATTTGGTAGCAAAAATGAGGTACAGTAATACATGTGGAGACATGCTAAATGAATACATATTTTTTTCTTTGACAAGTCGGTTTTAACATCTGGTCTTCATACTCTGACTACAAAGAAGTTCAGTTAATGTATTTCTATCACGTGAAAGCAATTAAGCAGGTAATGACAGTTTAAAAGCAAAACAAATGATTAAGCTGTTGTGAGTTGCGAAGTTTTGTTAATGATGGGATAAGAAAAGTAAAGTAATAGACTGACAGGCTAGATAACCTCTTCCACTGGAACCTTCAAAAAACAAATTTATTTTTGACATGGAAAGCTGTTGATCTTGCCTTCAGATTTGTGGATGACCTAGACATTCTTTTGAGTTTCCTGTAAACTCAGTTTTCTTGTGATCCTAAGATCTCTACAAGCCTTCTCCTTTCTGCTGTGAGCAAGGCCATTAGCCAAGTCCAAACTCTCTCTTTGCCCAGGATCGATGCAAGGCTGCCCTTGCAGTGAGTACAATTGCAAGAAGCAGAAGATCATTCTTTCCTGTGTCTTGTGCAGCTTTGCAGTGCAGCTGAGTACTGGTACTAGGTGTATGTCTACTGAGACATACTGAGTCTAAAAGACTTCTGGCCAGAAAACTGAGCAAATGTGCTGTTCCTTTCCTATATACCTTATATTTTCTTAGTGGTTATTGGAATGATTTTAGGTTGTAGCTTCGAGTGCTACAGAATTAAAAATTAACTATTGCCATTTCATCATGAAAGTATACTCTTGCATGACCAGTTTTGCTTTTTTGATTCAACTTGTACATTAAGCAGGTTTTCTGGAAAATATCCTCCTGTGTTAACATGATCCCATCGCATATAAACTCCCTTTCTATTATAACATAATCACGGAAACACAGAATTGTACGGGCTGGAAGGGACCGTTAGAGATCATTGAGTCCAGCCCCCCTACAACAGGCTGCATAGGTTGGTGCCCAGGCAGGTCCTGAATACCTCCAGAGAAAGAGAATCCACAACATCTGTGGGCAGCCTGTTCTAGTGCTCCATCCCCCTCACTGTGAAGGTCTTTCACATATAGGTGCAGAACTCCCTATGCTCCAGTTTCTGATCATTTCCCTTTGTCCCCACAGACTGATGAAAAGAGGTTGGACATATCCCTTTGACTTTCACACTTAAGATATTTCTGAACATTAATCAGATCCCCTCTGAGTCTTCTTTTCTCAAGGCTGAACGGACCCAGTTCGCTCAGCCTTTCCTCATAGGGGACATGCTCCAGACCCTTTATCATCTTTGTGGCCCTCCCTCTCTCCAGGAGATCTTTTTTGTACTGGGGGCCTGGAATTCTGGATACGGTACTCCAGTTATGCTAATATAAAGTGTATTGTTTTATATATATATAAAACATATATTATTTTATATATATATATATATTTATCATATTTTTTCTTACAAGTTTTCATTGTGCCATATTGACTTATACAGGATTTCCAAGCTGCCTTCCTGCAGTATTTTAAAGTTCTGTTGTTTCTGTCACGAAACCCTGTAATTTCATAATAGAAAAAAAAACAAAAACAAAAACAAAAACAAAACAAGAAATGCCAAGTGTTTAAATGATGTTTGTTTCAAGCTTACTCAGTTACTAACTTTCCATAGAACCCAGAATTTGTCAGCAATGAGGATAGCCCATTTAATGCATTAAGGAGTAGGATACTAAACAGTTTTATTTATTTACCTTCATATATATATATATATATATATATTTCTTCCCTAGCATTGTCCTTTAAACTAACTTATATTTTTATACAGGGAGTTGTCATTTGTGACTGCACCTTCATCTTTCAATTATTTTAAATGTTGTAAGTATTGGTATTGTAAAAATTTGAAAAACTTAATATTGTATGATTCAACTAATTGTTATCATAAGATGTTCTGCTTTAACCTCAATAATCAAAGATATTATAAGTCAGAACTGAGAATGATGGGTGAAAGAAAATATGAAAAGACTATTCGGGCAAGGAAAAATGTCTGCTTGTATTTTCATGTTCATTGTGAATTACTTTATTTCATGTAGGTTTTAAATCAGCCACTCAGCAGAATTGCAAAACTAGGCACCAAAGATACACTGAAATATGTATGTTGATATACTTATGTAATTGATGATAATGTTAACTATTTTATGTAAAATAATTGTTAAGATATGCAACACTCTTTAAGTTTTCATAAACCAGTGTCTGCATTGTCTGAATGGTGTTTTCATTCATCTACAAACAGACTAGGACCACAACTTTGAGACTAAAGATTTGCAGTACCCTCATGCTTGATGTTTCTTCTAAGTGGTATATCTCCCACCCTAGGCATGTTGCATTTTCTTCACTCTGGGGTTCTCCTTGTAACTCCAGATGGTTTCTGTGAGAACAAAAAGCAAGCTGATTTAGACTCGACCTTATAAATGAACCTATGCCTTTCAGTTGAAATGAAGGAGCACATCTGACAATTTTTTAGCTGTAAACTTTTCCTTAGCATTCTCTACAGAACCATCTACACATGATATCTTAACTTTACCATCAGTACATGTCTCCAGCATTCCTTGCAGAATACTCATGCCCTGTATGGACAAGATGCTGATGTAGCATGCAGCATACCAGGCCTTAGTATCCCACTCTAATGAGCAAGTGTGCAGAACGTTCCACAGCCCAAAGTTCTGTCAAGCAGTGATCATGGTGTATGGAAATAAGTGAAGGTGATGCTGTAATTATTACTGTAACATTGGTCCACAAGGGACTACGAGGTTCCTGAAGTCATATTTGTTTGCAAACTAGAAACAAAGAAAGGCCAGACAGCCAGACTGGCAATAATTTATACCGGTTGAAAATAAAGTAAAACTTTCAAACAAGGATGTGGAGAAAAAGAAGTGGAATAAAATCAAAAAGTTCTTGGAAAGAAATCAAAAAAGGAAACATAACAGCTCAGCTAGGTGGATATTTGGCCCATAAAAACAAATCAGCAGTAGTCAATTTTTCCGTAGCTGGGTGATGTTCTCTCTGGTACAGATTTATTGATAAACTCCACTGAGGATAGTGAGTAAATTGCAGGTTTGTCTAATGTGAAGTTAGTAGCTTATCATTGTCTGTATGAGCAAATTTTTCATACTCAGAGGTTGTGTATATGATCATGTTTTCAGGTCTCTAATCCCAATAGAAGATGCTCTCATAAAATTTTTTTTTTTTTTTTTTTGGAGGGTTGCAAAGTGGCTTTTAACATTTTTGAGAAGTCCATTAACTACAATTTGTTGTGCTTAACTTTATGAGGCTCAGTGTTGTTTTTCTTCAACATTTTCTAGATCTTATTCTCACTGTACCTGTGTTGGACATACATTTACCTTTCTTTTGTTAAATTGTTTTACTTTCTTTCATTTGCCATCTAGGAAAGTTTTGAAGGATGCTAATGTAGCTAGTATTGCAACATGACATGACATGAGGCATTTGTTCTCTCCTTCTTCAGAAAGAAAAAAAAAACAACCAAAAACTTACAGAAGGCATACAGATTAAAAAAAAAAGAAAAAAAGAAAAAGAAAAAGATCAGAAAGTGAGAATGGAATATATAAAAGAGTAAAATGCAATTAGACTTTCCAGTCTAGAAAGGAAGTGGCAGTACTGGGATATGGTAGGGGTAAGTAAAATGATTAATGGCTCAGGATAGGTCAACAAGCAATAGCTATTCCCTATTTTTCATACAGAGGCAGCTGGAAGCATCAAATGAAATGAGCAGGCAGATGGTTTAAAGCAAAAAGTACTCAAAATGCATAATTAAATTGGGGAGTTCATTGCCACAGGATGTTGTGGATGCAAAATAATATTAATGCCTTCAGAAAAACATTAGATGAATTAATATGGAAAATATCCATTAAAAGTTGTAAAACAGTAATTTGCATCCCGCTCTGGCTACAGAATTATTTCATCACAGATTCTTGAAAGGGGAGATCATATATGTGGAAAAAAATACAATATATGCTTACCATTTCCAGTATAACAACACCCAGTTCTTAGAATTTTCTTCACACTTTGAAATACATCTTAAAAAATAACAAAATTAGATGTTTTCCTGTTGAATTTCACTTGGTGAAGAACTTTGGAAATAAATGTGTTTTTTTCATTAGTACAGTTTGTTTATTGAATTATTGAATTCTGTTAAAGTTCATTATAATGTCTAGTAATGTTTGTTGAATGTCTATTAATTCAAACAATGAAAAATTTTCCTCATATCAGTAAGTAGTATTAAAATAATATTGAATAAGTCAAAGGACAGAAGAGTATTTCTGTCTTTGTCTGTCGTCATCAGTGATGCTAACTTGCGTATTTTCATTTGCAGAAATTTTCCTTATGATTTTCTTTTCCTAGCTAATCAAACTAAATAGAAACATCTGCAATACTGAAGATTAAGTAATTTGCTTGAAATTCTGAACACCGCGTTAAGCAGAAACACAGCAAAAGGTATATACTTAAAATTGTGTTTGTTTTTAATATTTCAAAGTTTAAATGAAAGAAAGTCATAGGTAAAACAAAGGCAAATATTTCAGTCTGCTCCAGGGTGTCATCTGTAACAAATTTCTTTCTCTGAAATGGGAAATACTGAGCGATAGCTAAAGTTTGTCAAAAATTCAATGGCTATCACTGTTTTCAGTAAATGTTTAATACTTCAAAACTTCCAAGGTGTATTGCTCTATAGTCTGTAAGATGCAATGTACACAGTATAGCATTTCCATTCCGTTACGAAGATGATAGTATACTGAAGGAAAGAATTAAAGGCTGGGGTATTATTAATTATTTCCTTTCTCTCCTCTCTTCAGTTCTGAATGAAAAGAATTAGAATTGCCCTAAATTTATTTACTAATTACCTTTCATGCTTTCTTTTCGCTTCTCCACAGATGATGCAAATTGCTGTTTTTCTCCTCAGCTGACCTGACCCAGGAAACTTTTCTTGACTGGTCCCACAGTTAACCTAATGATCTTTTTATTTAGATTATTCTTTCTTGCCAAGAAGGATAGGAATGGGAGAGAATGCCATTGAAGTGTCCCTGTGTATATCCTGGCATGAACTTTTAAAGTGAGACATTAAAATATTAAGCTATCAATGTTATTTTTATGATTTTAGGGCTACTCAAGAGCTTCTGATAGCACAGAACTGGCATTACAATTGTCCTTATATTGTGGCAGTAAGACAGTAAGGAACTTAATTCATTTTTTTATGGGCTGGACTTCTTTCCCATTTGAATCTTGCTGATATTCAAGGTGTTAATTTTTTCTGCAATATGGTTGTTTATATCCTGTGTTCTTATTACCTACTTTCTCTCCCTGTGGTTGTATTATGGTCATTAAAATCTGTAGCATAAATTTATGCTAAATAGATCTACATACAGAGTTTCATGTACGGTCCCAGCACAATTAGCTACTGAAGACAAAAATAATGTGGCAATAATAGTTTGATTATTTACCCTGGAGCATCTACTTATGTGTGTACAAATGATACATCTACATTTTCACCTGGGGATCTTACTGTGGGCATGTTCTTCAATTAATTTAAGTGGAGAGGGTGGAAATACTGACTGGTATTTATACATGCAAAATTGTGCATATTCAGTAAGTCAATCTGAGCATGCAAAAGAATAGGATAAAAAAGCCCCAAACAACTGAATTTGTGATCTTTCAATCATTATTTTCAATGAATTAATATTCTATTCTTCCTTTTCCTCCATATTTATGGAATTATAAGATATTCAACTGGAAGATTACGATAAAATATTAGCATTCATCTACTTAAATTGTTTATTCTACAAAGACAGGATTCTGTTTGTTGGTTTTTTTCACTGCCTCATGAGCTGTTGTATATTAAGGTTAGTGGGATGGTGCATAGATTGATGAAGTATATGTTGTAGAACAGCTACCTTTGTACATTGTATTTCATATCAACAGCTTTTCTACTCTGAAATGTCCTTCACTTACAGTTATGCAACAAATATGAAACTAAGTCAAATAAACATACAAATTCTTTTACATGGCTAGGAGTAATACCACGCAACAGTACATGCTGGGGGCCAGTCAGCATAGGAATATAGCAGAAAAGGACCTGGAGGTCTCGGTGAACTCAGAGTTGAACAGGTGAGTCAACTGCTGCTAAGTAGGCTCATGGTATTCTTTGCTGCATTAGGCAAAATATCACCAGCGAATCAAAGGAAGTTATCCTTACCTTCTCAGTCTTGATGAGGCTGCACTTGCAGTCCTGGTCCAGTACTGGGCTCCTCAGAGCAAGAGGGACTTTGGCATTCTGGAAAGAGTCCGGCGTAGAGCCATCAAGATGCTTCAAGGCCTGGAGAACCTCTCCTCTCAGGAGAGGCTGAGAGAGCTGAGAGTTGGAAATGCTCCATCTGGAGAAGAGGAGGTTCAAGGAGATCTCATCCATGTCCATAAATACTTGAAGAGAGAGTGTAAAGAAGATGGATTCAGGCCCTTGTCAGTGATGCCCAGTGTCTGGACAAGAGGTGATGGGCACAAACCCTAGAGGTTCCCTCTGCACATCAGTAAGCACTTCTGTGCTGTGTGGATGACAGAGCACTGGCTATCCAGAAAGGTTGTGGAATCTTCTCCTTAGAGACCTGGTATCTGAAGGTAGTGTTAGACCACATGGCCTCCAGAGGTCTCTTCTGACCTCAACTATTCTGTGATTCTGTGTGGTTCTTTGTTATGTGGCTCATGACTGAATTTCCTGATGTGTTATGGACTAGCAGGAGATGTATTAAAAAAGTAGCAAAAGCATGGCCAGGCACCATAAATTTCTGGACTGTTTCTGGAGTTTCTTGTTG